ACACACACACACACACACACACACACACACACACACACACACACACAGGCTCTGGTTCATATACCTTTCTGACTTCTAAGGGCTATCCTAGGCCTTAAATCTTCTCAATCTCCTCTTTGTCCTTCCCCCCCTCCCCTTCCCACCCATCTCCCTCCTCCCCATCCCCCCTTCTCCTTCTTCTTCTTCTTTTTTTTTTTGATTAAACTTTTTCTTTTGAGAAACATGCAGACTCACATGCGTTTAAGAAACAACACAGAGACATCCCTTGTGTCCTTTTTGAGGATCCTTCAATGAAAAAATCTGGTCAAACTACAGTACAATATCACCGGATGTTGGCAATGATACAGAGAACATTTCCATCACCACAAGGGTCCCTGTTGCCCCTATAGCCACTCCCTACCTAAGCCCTGGCCAGCACTAATCTGTTCTCCATTTCTATAATTTGTCATTTCAAGAATGTTACATAAATTAAATCATGCAGCATGGAACTCTCTTGGGATTGGCTTTTTTCACTCGGCATAATTCTCTGGAGTCTCACAGGCTGTTGGGTGTTCATGGCTTTTTATTGCTATGCATGACGCCATGGACCTTCATGTTTTACTTGGATACTTACCTAGAGATGGAGAAAGGAAGGGACACAGGGCAGGAGGGCTTTCCCGCCACCTACTACCTACGTCCAGTTCGGAAGCCAGAGGTCTTCCGAGGGTGGGGAAGGGCACCCGCCTGAGCCATCCAGGCGGGGCCCGGACGAGGGCGGGGCCCAGAGTGGGACGCGCGGGGCGGGGCGCCGGGAGAGGGCTGGGATGAGGGAGTGGCGGGCTCGGGAGAACTGCGGGGCCCGCTCCAGTCCACGCGGTCCGGGCAGCACAGAGCGCAGCCGCGACTCTCCGCCGGGCGGGCGCGTGCGAGTGCGAGTGCGTGGCCCCGCGCAGCCGGAACCTGGGCGCGGAAGCCCAGAGCTTCGCTCCCGGAGGCGGAGGGCTGAGTCCTGCCGCTGCTTCTCCGAAGCCTACGCTGCCCGCAGAGTGAGTTGCCTTCACTCGCCGGGGTGCGGGTGTTTGGGAGGGGCACTTTACAGGGCGCTGCTGTCGGCTTCGCAGGCTGTTCCTCGTTTCCACCCTGGGATCGTACGAATCTCTTCCTGAGCCCTACTGCATGATAGGTCCGGTTATAAACGCTTAGCAGAATCGTTTTATATAATCTCTCCTCTACTCGAGGAGGTCCGTGGTGTGATTACCTGCGGGTCCCGAGCTGCCCAAACTGACCAGGGCAGCTCAAGGTCAGTTTGGACGGGGGAGGGGGGAAGGTGCCATCATTTAGGCCAAAGGGGCGCCGCCTGGGGCTGTGCTGGCCGCAGGGAGCCCGCCTCTATTTTGGCTTGGCCTTTGCCAAGGGTTTCTTGGCAGTCTGTAGCAGAAACTATTAAAGTAATCTTTAACTTTTTGTTTTTCTGAGATTAGCCAAAGAAGTGCGGGAAGAAGAGTGTGTATGAAACAATACCAGTGCTATTTATAGTTGGGGTGAGGGGAGGTAGGAGAAATTACTTAGGTGCCCAGGGAGAGAAATGATCACAAATGGGCATGCATACATATTGAAATGTTATGTAGCTGTTTAACAACCGGCTCTGGAGCCTGTCTAAATGGAAAGAGGCATGTAGGAAATATTAAGTTTAAAAAGAAACATAATAGTTATTTTACCAGCAAAATCGCCTTTGGAGGCGCCTGGATGGCTCAGTTGGTTAAGCTCCCGACTCTGGCTCAGGTCATGATCTCTTGGTTGGTGAGTTCCAGGGCTGGTAGTTGAAGCTGCTTCTGTCTCCATCTCTCTCTCTTTCTCTCTCAAAAATAAATAAACATTAAAAAAAAAAGAATAGACTTTTTAAAAATGGGTTTATTTGGGAATTGCGGAGAATTGCAATCTGGGACAAGCAAGCTTAGGCAAAGTCATAGACAAGTCCCCAGAAGAAAGGGGAGGAAGGCTGGGAGAGCGCAGGTTGGCAAGGCTGTTAGAAACAGAAAGTCCATTGGCAGAAAGTGGGAGGTCCAAGAATACTGGCTTCTCATTGGCTGGGCTGTTGCGGGGGCAGGAGGAAACCTTTCTTCCTCCTGCTAGGGCAGTAGATACCTATGTGCAAGGTTCCTCTTAGGTCTGCAGTTGCCCCAGCCATAGGTGTGAGGGCTACTCCTGCTGGCTTCCAACTGCCTTCTAAATGACGTTTGCTTTTATTAAACATCTCAAAAATCAAGTGAAAACATTATGAAATAGCTTCTGGGTGCTGATTAAAGTGAAATAATATACACAAAAAAATATCAGAGGTGGGTATACCTAGTTTTATAACGTGTTAGCCTAAAAAAGAGCTAGTTATTTTACCAGCAAAATGACTTTATTCGGGAATAGCAGAGGAATTGCAATTTGAGACAGGCAAGCTGTGGCAAACCATAGGTCAGTCTGGAGAACAAAGGAGAGGCATGCTACTTTACAAAGACAAAGGAGGAAGTTGGGACGGGCTGCTTTTCCTCTATTGGAAGAAAGTGAAGAGTTCAGGATGGCGATGGTTTCTCATTGGCTGAATCGTAGCAGTTTCTCACTGGCTAGGCTGTTGCTCCCCAAAGAGAAAGAAAATCATTCTTCCTCCTGCTGGGTTGTAAAGAGAACTTCTTCCTGTCCAGGAATGTGAGATAAGCTGTGAGGGAAAGTTTGTGGGTGAGAGGCCCCTCTATAGGGTGTCCTGATTCCATTTTAGATGAGGTTTCCCTTTATTAATTTTCACAGACCACAGGGTTCCTTTTTCCACTTGGGTAAGTGCATCATTCCTAACAAAGGAGAATACTACTGCTGTTGAGGGGGGTGTTAAGGGAGTTGAGTGAGCCGAGAGTAAAGAACACTGAATAGCTAGTAAAAAGTCTGGTTTTGAGTCTTTTCTGTAATTTGGGACAAGTTGCTTACTTCTTTGGCCTGTTTCTTAATCCTCACAAATAGGAGAATGGATGAGAGGAAAGTCACAAACAAGTGCCTCAAGCGGCTGGGCATGTGATGTAAATACATAAACTGGGCCAAGCAAAACAGCAGGGAATGGTGAGGCCTGGGGATACAGAAGAAGGGATGCCTTGCCATGGGCATTGAAATTAAAAGCATTTTATCCAGACCAAAATGAGATCTCAGCATAAGGTGTTCCCTGAGCTTACAGTGACACACATGACCTTGTAAAAGGTACTCAGTTCCAGTCATTCTCCTGCTTAAGGTGCTCTGATGGCTTTCTGTTAGCCTTAGAGTACAATCCTTGCCCCTGGTCTACAGACCCTACCCCACCTCTCTGACCATGTCTCCCACCATCCAACTCTTCCTTTCTTTTTTTTTTTTTTTTTTTTTAAACCACAGATGAACACGCCAGGCCATTTCCTACTTCAGGCCTTACACTTGCCATTTCCTCTGCCTGAACCTCTGATCTTTGCATGACTGAGTCCATATCATCATCCCTGTTCAGAGATACTTTCCTGGACCATCCTATCTAAAATAACAAATGTACCCCTGCCATTTTAACCACAAAAGTACTTTATTTTCTTATCGCTGTCACTTAGCATTATTAGTAGTACTTATCACTATCTAGAATTTTATGGTTGCTTTCCTTGCCTGCTTTTTTTTTTTTAATGTTTGTTTATTTTTTGAGAGAGAGAGAGAGAGACAGATCATGAATGGGGGCGGGGCTGGGGAGCAGAGAGAGAGGGAGACACAATCTAAAGCAGGCTCCAGGCTCTGAGCTTCAGCACAGAGCCTGATGTGGGGGGTTCAAACTCACAAACCACGAGATCATGACCTGAGCTGAAGTCGGATGCCTAACTGACTGAGCCACCCAGGTGCCTCTCCTTGCCTGCTTCCTTCCTTTGTGTGCCCAGCACCCCCCCCCCCCATAAAGTTCCATTCTCCTCACCTATGTTGTTCACAGCTGTAGCCTCAGCACCTAGTGCAGTACCTGGCCAGAGGGTAGGTCCAAGCTGAATGAATGCATACGTTGGAATTGTGTCCCATTCACTGCTATTAATGGAGAGTCAACTCCAACGGCTTAAACAGGATTCAGAGTTTGATCTCCCATGTAAAGAAGTCTGAAAATTGGCAATTCAGAACCATCTCCTGGCTCCAAGAAAGGATCTGGAATCCAGGTTCCTTTCCTGTTTTTCTGCTCTACCATCCTTAGTCTATAGCTTCTACCCCCATGATACCAAGATGGCTAATTGAGCCCTAGCTGTCATTCCACAGTCTAGCTCAGATGAAGGCCAATGGCAGGGGCAGAAATGGTACCTCCATCCTCCCCACCCCTGAGGCAGCCCCTTCAAGGATATGTCCTAAGAGCCACCCCTAATGGCTTCTGCTTCACCTCTTTCGCCACCCCTAAGTGGAAGACTGGGAAATGTAGTCATTAGCTGGGCACATTGACACATGACTAAATTCAGAGACTGTTCTTAAAAAAACAAGAGGGGATGTTGGGTAGCCAAAGAGGCAGATTTCTAACTGTTCAGTCAGCAGTCAATTTAAGAAATGGGCAAGGATTAAACTTACCATTGAGTTTATGATGGTGTTTGGAGTTCCCACCCTCTGTCTGATCAGAGCTGTTTGCCCACTCTCCAGTTTAAGTGCCCTGCCTGCCCTCAACTCACCTCCAGCCACAATTATTTAAACTTCCTTTCCTTTCTGTCCCCAGGACACCCAACCTGGGGCAGAGTTCATCCCCCTGCAACCCACTTCCACTTCTTCACAGTGTTCTGCATATCTCAGCCCTTTACCTGGGGCTCCTGGACAGCTGAAGGTATGGTATGCAAGGGCCAGGAAGAAGCTAATTCGGGCTCTGCTCCAGATTCCAGTTGTAGCCATGGATAAACCTGATTTCTGTCTCTCTGTTCTTTTTGTTATACTATAAAGATGCACTGAGGGGCACCTACGTGGCTCAGTTGGTTAAACCTCTGACTCTTGATTTTGGCTCAGGTCGTGATCTCCGGGTTTTGTGAGATTGAGTCCTATACGAGGCTCCGTGCTGACAGTGCAGGGCCTGTTTAAGATTTTCTGTCTCCGCCTCTCTCTGCTCCTCCCCCACTCACGCTGTTTCTGCCTCTCTCAAAATAAATAAATAAACTTAAAAAAAAAGATGCACTGATATGTTAAAATTGTCATGTGGATACAGCACATATCATACAGCATCTCCACACTGACCTTGACTTACAGGCTGTGGATTGTTTGTTTGTTTGTTTGTTTGTTTGTTTGTTTTTTGGGGGCAGAGGGAGTAGGTTTGTTGGAGATACCTTGTCTCTCCCAGAGTGAAGCCAGTTATTTCAGAGTTGGCTAGCCAGGAGTAGGATTCAGGTCTCTCTTGTGCCTTTGAGGCTTTCTGGGGAGAACTGACATTTTTCCAGAGTCTTATTCTGTGCTGGCCACCATGTGTGTGTACTCTGTCTGGCACTTTGCAGACCACGTAGACATGGTAGCTGTGAATTTCTCACCTGTACTCCTGACCTTTGTCTGTTCAGCTGTGTTGATTATTTGTAGTAAGTGAAAATGTGGGAGAGGGGGAGGGAGGAAGGACACAGGGCCCGGCCTCCTGCTTCTTGTCATTCTCATTTTCTAGGACCTGTTCATTAGGGCTGCCTTCACGGAAGGTTCTGGGTCCTCTCAAAAAAAAAAAAAAAAAAAAAGTACTGGTGTTGACACCCTGCATGCTTTGTCCTCTGAGGCCTAAATCTCCAGGTGGCCCCTGCTGAGAAGGCTTTTTTTTTTTTCCCCAGACACATTTGCATGTCCTTCATGAGGCCTGGAGTTGGTACATGGACCTCACCACTACCTCTCCCCATGTCCTTCAAGTGTTTGTTTTCTCTTCCAGATTGTCAGGGTCACTGAGAAGAGTGACTACAGCTGAAAGCCTGGGGCTTGCCACAGCGAATCCTTCTGTGCCCAGGATTAACAGCAGACCCTCCCTTTGGCAGTGGTCAGAGGGGAAGAATCCAACTTCTTAGAACATGGCAGGTGACTGTTAGCTATGGGGGAATTAAACATTTTTAAATACAAATTTTAATTAGAAATTGAATATGTATAAAAATCCAAACAAGACTGAAATGTATAAAACTTGTTTCATGTTTTAACATGAATCACTATTTGGAATTATCTTGTTTTGTATTTTCTTCCTCGTTTTACTGCCCATTTCAGCCCCACTAGAAGTGAGGGCCATGCTTATCTTGTTTACTCTGCTTCTAGCCTCTGGAATGATCCCCAGGCTGTAGTAGTGCTCAATAAATACTTTTTTAATAATGTATTTATTTAATTTGAGAGGGGGAAAAAGGGGGAGAGAGAGAATCCCAAGCAGGCTCCACAGTGTCAGTGCAGAGCCTGACACGGGGCTTGAACTCATGATCTGTGAAATCATGACCTGAGCCAAAATCAAGAGTCAGACCCTTAACTTACTGAGCCATCTTGGGACCCCTCAATAAATACTTCTTGAGTGAATGAGCCCCAGGAGTAACTGTGGTTTAAAATGCAATATGACCAGGGGCACCTAGGTGGCTTAGTCGGTTAAGTGTCTGACTCTTGATCTCAGCTCAGGTCATGATCTCAAAGTCCATGGGATTAAGCCCCATGGGATTCTCTCTTTCTCCCTATCTCTCTGCCCCTCCCCTCCTCACTCTCTCTCTCTCTCTCTCTCTCTCTCTCCCAAAATAAATAAATAAGCACTCAAAAAAGTAAAATAAAATTCAGTATGACTTAATTTTTACTTTTGTCCCTGCTCACCACATGCAGACACACACACACCATTCTGCAGCTTTTTTTCTGTCAACAGTATGACATACGAATCTTTTCAGAACATAAAAATGTACCTTATTTTACGTCTTATGGCATAGATTAGGGTTTCTTAACCTCAATACTACTGACATTTTAGGCAAATAATCCTTTGGTGTGGTGCTTTCCTGTGCTTTGTAGGATATTTAGCAGCAGTTCCAGTGTCTCTCTACTACATGCCAGCAGCACCCTCTTCCCTCGCTGTGATGACACAGAATGTCTCCAGACATGGCCAACTGTCCCCTGGGAGCCAAACCTGCCCCTACTTGAGAACAGCTGATGGAGATTATTTTGTTTGGATCTATTAGTAGAATTCCTGTGTAACAATAATGTTAACCATTAACCTAACTCATGGAATTCAACCTTTACACCCAGTTAAATGCCCCCAAACTGTCTGCTTCAAATAACATTTGTATGTGCTCCTTAAGGGCCTAAACTGAAAAACTTAAATCAGGAGTTCAAACATTTTTGCCTTAGACATTACCAGGCCAAAGCTGTTTCCCAGAAGAAACCAGTACCTAACCTCACAGAATCTTCTGAATGAAGGAAATATTGCTTCAGAGGATATTGGTATTAATGACACATCCAGGACCTTTAAGACCTGACTCTCCTTAGAACCTTTTTGTCATCAATTTAGCCACCCAGAGCAGATTCCATATAGGCCTTGCCTCCCTCTGGGATTAGGGGTCCGATTTCCATACTTTGTTTACATGTCACATTTCAGTGGCCGTGGAGGAAAAAGAAGCAGAACTGTGTGTCAGTAGCTGATGCCAGCCCAGTAGGGTTAGCGTGAGAGGTTAGTTATGGTAGCTTTCTTCTTTTTTTTTTTTAATTTTTTTAATGTTTATTTATTTATTTTGAGACAGGGAGAGAGAGAGAGAGAGAGAGTGAGCAGGGAGAGAGGTAGAGAGAGAGACAGAGAATCCCAAGCAGGCTCCTCACTGTCAGCACAGAGCCTGACTCAGGGCTCGCTCTCACGGATCATGACATCAATACCTGAGCTGAGATCAAGAGTCAGCACTCAACCCATTTAGCCACCCAGGTGCCCCCAGTTATGGTGGCTTTATTTTGATGTTGGAAAATAGGGCTAAAACCTCTTATAGAGGATAACCACAGTAGATTGGGCTTTTAAATTTGTGGTGTTATTTTTGAGGAATCATGACCCATTTTATATCTATGTATTAGTAAGCTCAAGCAATGACGTTAAAACTGGATTTTTTTAAAAAATGTTCATTATTTTAAAACTGTCATCCATTAAAAAAGGTTGGTATTTCTTAACTTCAGCCTGTATTGCACATATACATTTCGTTTTTGTCTTAGTCTTCATGGAATTTTGACAAAGAGGAATTGTTCTTCAAGAGAAACCCTTCTCCAATTTAGGCAAGAAAGTTCTCATTGTCTATGCGCACCAAGAACCCAGGTCTTTCAATGGATCCTTAAAGAAAGTGGCTGTGGATGAACTTGGTGCGCAGGGCTGCACTGTCACCGTTTCTGACCTGTATGCCATGGACTTTGAGCCGAGGGCCACCAGGAAAGATATCACTGGTGAGTCAGGGGCTAAACGTTTTAACTTTCTTCTATTTTGTTAATTGAAAAAATGTTCTGAAAAAACTTACCATTGCCCATGATACCCAATTCTCAAGTCTAAAGAGTCCATGTGGCAGGTCTTCCCATCCCTGGCCCCGACCCACCTAGTTTCACTGCCCTCAAGGTCACCAGTGTACCCACTTTTCTCTGTATCCCTCCAGAGGTGGTCTGTCCTGTATAAGGCAATTACGGGCATATTCTCCATTTTCTCATTGACTTGTCTATAAAATCTTTTGAATTAATTTTCCAGGTTCAAAAGTAATCAGACGATATTTTCATTGAGATCCCAATCCAGTTACAGGTGAACTTTTATTTATCCAAGAGAATGGTGTGCCTTTTCATTTCCTCACATCTTCTTTTTCAACCTGACGGATCTCTATAAGTTTTCTTCATACAGACCTTGCACAGTTCTTGTTAGCTGGTTTTTGTTTCTCTGCATGAAGAAAGTGTGCCTCTCTGTGTGCCTCTGTGGTGTGTATCCAGCCACTACTAATTTTCTTGC